AAAGTGAATAGCTTTAAGGGCTTCTACTGTGGGCAGAAATATGATGAATGGTAGGTTGAGTTTTTTTATTTTGTTTTGTTTTGAGATTGAGTCTCACTCTGTCACCGAGGCTGGAATGCAGTGGCACAATCTCGGCTCACTGCAACCTCTGCCTCCCAGGTTCAAGGAGTTCTCCTGCCTCAGCCCCTGAGTAGCTAGGACTACAGACGTGCACCACCATGCCCAGCTAATTTTTATTGTATTTTTAGTAGAGATGGGGTTTCACCATGTTGGCCAAGTTGGTCTCGAACTCCTGACGTCAAGCAGTCCACCTGCCTCAGCCTCCCAAAGTGCTGGGATTGCAGGCGTGAGCCACTGCACCTGGCCAGTAGGTTGAGTTTTAATGATGTCTGTGAAGATGCAAGTTCAGCTGTGGCCTGGAAGTGTGGTCTGGCGCCTGAGAGGAGCACTGCAGACCGCCTGTTCTGTGTTGCTTGCATTGGCATCCATGGTGAGTGCGGCAATAGCTGTCATCAGTGAACAGAGAGGCTCCAACCAGGGGCCCTGTGGTGCCTACAGGGAGAGGGTAGGTGTGCCCAGGGTTCTTCTGCTTGAGTCAAAGTCCCTGGGAGCCCAAGTATGAAACCCTAGGGGATTCCATCATGTCTGGGTGGTGGGTGTCCATCATTCCTCTTAATCTCATGGTTTTCTTGCAAAGTGGAGAAACCCCATTACTGGGCTTTTCCCCATATTGAATGTCATCTTGCAACATCTCTTCAGCTTTGCATTTTTGGAATACGGATCAGAATCTTTCCTTTCCTTGACTCCCTTTCTAACAGCTTGTTAGAATGCATTCATGTAGCAACTGGAAATGAATGAGACACATTTACATTTAACACCTCCCTCCCAATGACTTCAGCTCAAACCTTTGCGGAGATTTCTCCATTAGAGGACTGTTAGATGCCACCAGACATGTGAGACTAAATGTTGGCATCATCTTGGAACAGAGATGGACACTGGGGTCTGGCCTTTCCTCTGGTGCTCAGTCCTGCAGGCTGTCCTTTCTCCACTGCACCTCCTCAAGGGGCATTCCTAGTAGCCTCTGGAACCTGCCCTGGTGTGTTTTGATTCACTCTCTATGCTTGATAGGCTTTCTCAAAGAACCTGCTGCATCATAAGTGCTCAACACACTCTTTTCAGGATTGTTCTTCTATGTTTTAGATTACACTTTTGTATATATATTTTTCTGATTAAGTACTTTTTGTAGGGCTACTGAAAAGTTCACATAAATTAACACATTAAAGACCTTTGAAAGCCCCTGCCTGGCACAGTAGACACAGCCAGTACATATTGGCTATGATCGTTTGTGTTCTGTACCAGATTGGTTTACAGGCCACAAAGATGGGGCCCTACGGATCCTCTCTGTTCAGGCAGTGAAGACCTGGTATCTGAGGATGAAAGAAGCTTCTGTTGTAATGATGTGGAAATTCCAGAGGGTGTGATGGAATGAATGACCTGGAAGAGAGAACAGCAAAGCATGTTGGGTGCAGGAAGGTGGAAAAGGGAGTATAGGAAGGGGGAAGAGGGAACCCAGTCAGCCTTCAGGTTTCTGGAAGTACCAATCCTAGAGTCTCTAGGTGAAGAGAGTTGGCCAAGGCAAGGAAACCTGAGCCCTTCGTGAAGGAGTCAGAGGAGGTTTATGACTAAAAAATGACAAGTTATACCATATTATGTATTCTGAACAAATATGTGTAAATACATGATTTAGATAAATTAGGTATTTATTAAATATTTCAAGATTTGGTTCTGGAAGAGTACAATTTGTCTCTTGACCATTGCTAGAGGGGAAAAAACAGGTAAAGCCAATCAAAGAAAGCTGAAGGTTTTTAGAGGAAAAAGAAAATCTAGTTTTGCAGCAAAGAGGATTAATCTGTAAAATCTCATCTTATAGATGTGCTACTGATCTAGAATTTGTTTCTTCTAATTCTTCATTTCCCAACACTATCAAGATAAAGTGTGTAATCTTTAGAGCTAGAGAGAAGTCTGTTTGCATCTGTGGGGTTAAGGCGGAGAGAGAGGTGAGAGGTGATTCCAGCTATACCTGGTCACTTGAATAAAACCACCTATTCCCATGGCTCTCTGTTTAGGGAGTAGAAAACCCTCATTTCAATGAAATCAGTGTGTTTTCATATTCGGAAGTCTGCCTTCCAAGAGCTAATGACATATAATGGAAATGAATTATCCCTTGCTACCTAAACGCTTGCTTCCTAAACTCATGTTTAACTATGTAACGATATTTGTATTAATTTAGGAAGTTTATATCTAAGGAGGTATTTCCCTTGAACAAATGAAACAAGAGCATCCTGGCAGAAAAAGTAGAAAATGTTTTCAATTTGCATTTTGTTGTTTGGAGGCCTATTTAATTCAGTGCAATCTTATTTATTCAGTCATATATATTAAACATAAATGTATTAAAAATCTATCACTAGAAAGTACTAATTGTCACTGAATGGCATATTTTAAAATGAATAATTTCATGTTATGAAAATGTTACCTACAAAATATAATAGAACTGCCATGATTAAGACATTATGTCTACACATAGAAGGTTAAAGTAACAATACCATAACTACTGTCCTTTTATAAATAAATAAATAAATAAAAACATAATATTTATTCCAAAAAGTTCTTATTTCAAAAGATGAAACAGAAAGAAAGTGGAAGAAAGTAGTAGAGAAAATGGAAAAAAGGACGAGAAGCGATAGACATGCAAAACTCCAACATCCCAAAGTTAAAGGAAGGAGAATAGCCATGTTGTGCCTATAACCCCAGAAGATGACAAAAATTATTTCCAGCAAATTGACACCCCTTCTTTCTGAAGGTAGTTTTGGGCAAAAAGGTGCTGTTTTGAGCTTTTACCCCAAATCACCTGGGGTGCACTTGAAAAGAAGGCATTTTGCCAATACATTAAAAGTGTCTGAGTGAAAGCTGCTACTTGGTTGTCCTAAGAGGCTTTTAACCCCAGCCACATAATTATTTCATAACGACCAATCAGGAACATTTCTCTTCCCATCAGTTTCCCAGACTACCTCATAGCACATGCATGATACAATGTGTGATTTTGCAGCCTTCCATGTAACATCAGTGTCCTAAAGAGATGGACTTGAAGAGATTCATGGTGATTTTAGTTGCATTTTGAAATGCCACACATATTCTATAATATTAAATTAATACTTGTTTATTGTAGGGCATTAATTACATTTTAGATTCCACAAAAGTAAATAGAAGACAATTAAAATTAGTTATAATTGCATCTCCCAGAGACAGCCATTGCTAGTACTTTAAAACATTTTGGTCATTTTTTAATATACATATATTAATATTATTTTGCAGAATGGAAACTGTACTGCATGTGCAGATATTAATCTGCTCTTAAAATGCAAGATGTCATCAGTCTCTTAAAACATGATTTTTAATGGCTGCATACCATTCCTCCACCCCATTGTACCATGATTCATTTATCCACCATCTTAATACTTACTTGCTTCATTTTTGGTGTTTCTAATTTCTTGCAAATGAAAATTTAACTGCCCTTGCTAATGATTATTTGGGAGGTGATTCTTACCTTGATAAGTAGGTCACCATCTATCCAATTGTGCAGCTGGAAACCTCGAAACCATTCTTGCAATAGTTTTCACCTCCAATCCCAATCCATTGCCAAATTCTGTCAATTTTCTATTCTTAGTATCTATTAAGCTTATTCACTTGTTTCCACCCCTCATAAATATTTTTGCCCTAATATTTTTTAATTCCTTATTGGTTCAGCAATATACTAGGTACTTATCTTTTATTTTTCACACCTACCCTATTGTTACTCTCCTTCCAATTTTTCTCTCAAATTTTTGATGAAATTCAGTTTATTTACCTTAAGAAATTTATTTTTTACTTTTTGGATTTTATATTGTGCAACATAGTACACACATTCAAAAAGATATTTAACATATATGTAAATTATAAATAATAATACTTTAAAATAGGCATAGTCAAGCCTAAAAAGTAGAACATTATCAATATTTTGAAGTCCACTGATTAGCCTTATCACAATCTGAAATTTTGTGATTATTATCCTTTGACTGTCTTCATGATTTTACCAGATATGTATATAAACATTTTGCATTGTACTTAAGTTTAAGCATTATAGAAATATTATCATCCTGTTAACATTCTTCTGCAACTTGCTCAACATTATGGGTTTTATATTGAGATACAACTTAGGTACCATAAAAATGTACAGCTTAGTATTTTTTAGTATAATCACAAGGCTGTGAAATTGTCATCACAATCCAAGTCTGGAACATCTCCATCGCCCCAAAAGAAACCTCAAGAAACTTTGTACCCACAGCAGTCACTTTTGTGTTCCCCTGCCTTCACCTCTGGTGGTCACAAGTCCTCTTTCTGTCCCTGTTCATTGTTATGTTTTTGAGAGAAACGTATTACGATGTCTGAAGTCATAGTTTATCTTTTTCGGTTATAATAAATATATAACTGTTTTTCACTTCTGCCAATAGAAATTTAGGTTATTTGTAGTTGTTTTTTAAAATTTCTATTTGAACATTATTTGTTTTTTTAAAAAGTATGTTTCACAGTTACATGCCTTTTAACAATTAAAGTGCCTTTTAACATTTATGCATACATATATATTCTTAGGCGCAGTGTTTTGGACAGAGGAATAGAATTGCCAGTGTTAATTCTGCCCACCTTTAATTTTAATGCATAATAAAAATCATTTTCTAAAGTGAGGGTACAAATTGAAAATTCCACCAACAGGGTATCATTGTCTTTCATAATTTTTCCCATTGGATTGTAGGCATTGTTGATATATGCCATGTGTTAATCTTTTATAAAAATCGATTTGTCAAATTTATTACTGGCTTTTTGTTTACTTTATGTTTTCTTTCGAATGAACATCAATTTTAAATTTTAACTGAGTGAAATTTATCAAGTTTCCCTTTTGAGTTTTGTTTTTCATTTTGTTTTAATTTTTTTCTCTATCGCCAAATTTTCAAATATTTACTCCTGTATTTCCTTTCTCTCTCTTTTTTTTAGCTTTAATTCACCTGCATTATATGATTGTGCATGGTGTCTGATAGTGGCTCAGTTTCAGTTTTTTTTTTAATTGTTTCCGAAGCGTGTTTTAAATATTTGACTGTTTTCCCAGTGGTCTGAATAGCGCTTCTCAGATATAGCAAGTATCTAGGTTTGCATGAGTCAGCCTCTGTGCCCTCTGTTCTTTTCCCCTGATGTTCCTTTTGCTGCTTCTTTTGCCAATACCTCACTGTCTTAATTACTATATTTTATTAACAAATCTCAGTTTCTGGTAGACCATTTCCTTCACCTAGTTCCTCACTTTCCTTCAGGAATGTCTTGGATATTTGTAACTCTTTTCCTTATGATTTAGCATCAGTTTGACAAGTTTAATAAACCTTGTTAGGACTGAGATAATTTAGAAAGATTGGACATCTTTAAGGTATTGAGTTCTCCTAGCTAGGAATGTGGCACATTTCACTATTTCTTTAGTGAATTGTAAACTGTCTTTTTATAAAGTTTTATAATGTTCCCCATAAAGATCTTTAAAATATTTTGCTAGATAAATCTAACACCTTATATATTTTGTTACTCTTGTAAAAGGTACCCATTTTTCAAAACCACATTTTCTCTTTGTTGCTTGGGTATAGAAATAAAATCAAATTTTAATTTATCTTATATCTGATAATTTTGTTAAACCCTCATATTAATTTTAATGCTTTAAAGATGTTTGGAGGGAAATATTTTATAAATATAATACACAAATAATACCATTTTGTGTGTTGCTTACAGATTTTCTCATCTTATTGAACTGGCTAGAGCCCTCAACGTATGGTGTAAAAGCAACCTTATCTTAATCCTTTTTGAAAGGGAATGTTCCAGATTCTACCATTTGGTACCATGTTTGCTCTAAGATTTTGGTAGGTTCAATTTTTTTCAGTTTAAAGAAGTTATACTCTAGTCCATTATGCCAAGGATTTTAAGCTGAATGAATATAAAAATTAATCAAATATGTTTTGGTGCCTCCTGAGGTGATCTTAGGCCTTTCTAGTTTGATTTCTAAGTATGGCTAACTACATTAATTGATTTTTCAATGTTAAACAAAAATGTACATTTCTGGAATAGATTTAACTTGGTCATTCTTTAACTTTGGGTTCCCCTAAAAAATGACCTTGAGAGAAGGGCTCAGTGTCTGATCATTCCAGCATCTGGCTGTGGAGCTGTGTGACTGAGTCATCATCTGTTGCTTTGTTTGCTGACTTCCAACCTTTGTGCCTAGATGATATTGAAGTCGCCTTCTCTCCCTTTGAAGGTCAGGGACTTGTGTATGTGTTTGTCCTTTCACTCAGCATAGCTCTTGGAGTTTCTGGCTGCATGAGAAGGTCTAGGGAGACTCTCCCCTTCCAAGAGCCCTCCACGTTGTCTTCTGCCTTTTAGGGCTACTGAAACCACAGCACAAGGTGTGGGGACGTTACCAGGTTCCCCCAGAGCCGTCATTCATTGCACCGGCTTTCCACGACATGCCTGCCCCCTTTTGTTTCATCCCCTGGGACTTCTCCTACGTTCTTGCAAGGTCATTATGAACTTGAAAGGATATGGATTTTTATTTTATTTTATACTATAGAGGTATTTTATAGCAGAGATTTTTTCAGGGTATCAAGACTAGAAGTTTTGCCCGAGAGGGAAAACCAGAGGCTTTCAATATTTTTTGAATTCTATCTAAAAACCTTTTTTTATGTTCATTCTTTGTTTTTGTACTAGAAAGAACATGTAACTATTTTATATATAGTCTTTAAATGACATTTTATGTGAATACAGTGTCACAGCAATAGATAGCAATACCAAATAAAATATATTCCAAAGAAGCTGCTTAAAAATTTGAAGACATTGAACCCTAAAAGGATGACTGATTTCCTCAATAAATCATGTAGAAATGGAAACTTGTTTGCAGTATGAATTATATTTTGTAGTATGGGAAAACAAAGGAGAGAAGAGAAATCCTCCTTTCCTTAACTAGCAGATTTCTGTAATGTGACAGCCTGGGAGAGACGACAAAGAACGTAGTTTTGAGAGGCACCTTTTGCCATTTACTTCTGGCTGGTCAGGACTGCCACCTAAAGCCACACACAACTTCAGGAGCACCACCCACAAATACAACACTCCGAACAGGGCTCCCTGGCTGTGTACAGTGTGGCTGCCCTGATCCTGTGGCAGATAACATTCCTGAACATTGAGTTACTCACCTGTGACATCAGAATCATAGTAAAGTTCATGCAAAGAATAAAAAGGATAATATGCATGAAATCACTATATAAATGTTATTATCCCCACCATGCCCATCTTTGAAAGAACCTATTCAATTGCTACAAATTCTGCTTGATTTTTGCCACTCATTTAACTTCTTAAAAACTTTAACTGACAGAATAAAGCCATAAAAACATCTCGGTTGAAGCAAAGGGAAGCAGCAAAGAAACTTGCTCATCCCAGTTGCCCACCATACACTCCCTTTTCATCTCAACAGTGAGTTAGGTAACATGATTCCTTTTCTTTTTATCTTTCTTTGAAACATAGAACATGTCCATTAGCTCAGCACAATATGAAGTTAAAGATAGGATCACAGGGATGGTAACTGCCCTTCCTCTTGCTTTACATTCTCCTATCTGCCAAAGAAGAATGCCTAGCTCCTCGCTGTGTCTGGTTCAATATACAAACACATACATTTGTCTCTAAGGGGTTATGAGTTGGTATTTCTAGCTTTTCTCTCCCCTAGTCTGTGCCCCTTCTCCACATCTATCTTTCTTACTCAACTTGACGAGCCCACAGACACCTTCACTCCCTGTGAAGCCATGAGAAATGTCCTTATTTCAATTGCAGGTGGACAACCGTCTCCCACTGTCTCCCGGTGCCATCTCTAATCTTACAGCCTCGCTGGAGTTATCCAAGGTCCTGAAGACACCCCAGTGACACTCCCCAGTCTCCAGTTTGAAGGTTGCAGTTCAGGGATCAGACCATCTCTCCAGGCAACAAACATCTGCACCAGCTGGACTGCTGCTACTGCGCGGGGTGGGGTGTGATGGACAGTGGGGTCCTGTACTACGGGCCTGTCGTCCTGGGTCTGTTCTGCCCAGTGGACCCGTCCAGGCTGCTGCAGGAGTGGCGATGCTCATGCCACTTGGCCACTTGACCTTGCTCTGCATGACCAAATGACCACCATCGTTTAATGGTTGCATCACATTCCATCACATGGTCAATAGTCGTTTTTCTCTACTTTTTTATTGTTAGGTATTGCCTTTTTTTTTTTTTTCTTGTTTCTTTCAATGATAAATGCTGGTTTGATGAATGTGGTATACATTTATTTTGTTTGTGTTTTGCATTATTCCTGAGGAAGAACAGATTTTTCATTGTAGAAATACTGATTCAGAAGCTCTGCATGTTTTTAAGCTTCATATGCATAATACTGAGTTGCTTTCTGCAGAAGTTAGCCCAGCAGCATATAACCATGCCTCTTTTTTCCCATTCTCTTCAGCGCTGTTTTAATAGCATTAAATATTTGTCCCTTGTAATAGTGCAAAATTGTGTCCCTATGTTTCAGTCCTCTCTCCTTTGATTACTAGAAATGTTGAAGTGTTTTCATTATTAAGCACAGGTATAAATCCATTTCTACAGTTTTGCTAACTTTTCTTGGGTTGGTAATATCTTTATCACCAATGTATGTGAACTTAAATTATAGGAAGTTTATTAAACCTTTGTGATGTATTTGTTATAAACATTTTTCTGAATTATTAGATAAGTTATAATTTGGTTAATTATGTGTGTTGGCCCACATAAGTTTAAAATTGCTATGTACTCAAAATTTTTCCATTGTGATTTACTTAATACATTTTCACACTTAGATATTTCTTCCTTGTCCACTGTTGCTTACGCTTTCTTAGAATTTATTATGTCCTTATGTATTTAATGCTTTTATTTTAGTAAATGGTGAAAATAAAAATCAAAACCCTTCTTCCCAAGGTTGTGTATTTAATGACCTATCATTTCCCTGTTGATCTTTATTATTTTTTTCAATTATAAATAATATTTTGGCAAACTTTGTTATTCATAAAGTTGTCATGATTTAAATTCTTCTGTAGGCATTAGTAAATACCCAGCGTAAGTGGGTACTTATTTCTACCAAAGAATATGTACAAAAATATTCCTGGCACTATTTCAGTAGTAGCAAGGACTGGAAACAAGCTAAATAGCCATCAAAAATAGAACGACAATAAGTTAGAATATATTCACAAAGTGAAACACTATACAGCGCAAGCCGGGGACCCTGAAATCTGGGCTCTCTGACTCCATTTCTTACCCACATCTGTGACTCTGCTGCACCCTCTCCCAGCCTCCAACAGTGGCCCTGGATGCTTCAGCTCTATTGCTTCTTAGCCACAAGCTGAACAGAGAGAGAGAGAATCAGAAAATATTACCCCAGTACCTCAGTCAGAAGGTCTGGAGCTGACTCGCTGTCTCTGACCAGCTGACAGAGGTCCTGCGCTTGTTCGATGGGTCTAGGACACAAACCATCCCTGGTGCTGGGGTGAATTCATCCTCTCCAGGCCATTTTGAGTCTTTGTCACCTGACTTAGCAATGAATTATAGGATGCTTTTCAAATGGTGGTGTCAGAGCCGTTCCCTTGAAGCAAAAGTCAGTGTCCTCACAAGGTGGGAATGGGTGCTGGCGTCCTGAAAACAGTGGTTTTCCTCTCTATTAAATCACCCTGGCCAGCAGCTTGTCCTCTGTGTGTCTCAATTTTCTCATCACCCAAATGCCCAGTACATTATAGGGTTGGTTACTGATTGTAATTTCTTTAAAAATGAATTACTGGCCAGGCACAGTGGCTCACACCTGAAATCCCAGCACTTTGGGAGGCCAAGGCGGGTGGATCACCTAATGTCAGGAGTTCAAAACCAGCCTGACCAACATAGTGAAACCCCATCTCTACTAAAAATACACACCAAAAAAAATTTAGCTAGACTTGGCGGCCATGCCTGTCATCCCAGCTACTAGGGAGGCTGAGGCGGGAGAATTGCTTGAACCTGGGAGGCGGAGGTTGCAGTGAGCCCAGATCGCACCATTGTGTGTAAACGTATTGAGTTCACCGCCAGACCTTTCAGCATGTGGCCAATGTGTCTCTTTTTTTTTTTTTTTTTTTTTTTGGTGTGGGCCAGTTTGAGTTGGATTGTCTGCCACCTGAGCAAGAGAAATCCCACCTGCCAAGCCTCCTTGCAGACGGTGGTGCAGCCTCCACAGCCTGGTCTTCAGATTGTAACTCCGGCCCCTGCTCTGAGCTGGAACTCTCTAGGTGATTTTTAAAGCCTTGTTTAGTTTTAATATTCTCGATTATCTGTGTAGTAAAACAGATTAATTTGTCTTTTACAGAAATGAAAGTGCTTAATGGAGTAAGGCACATTGTAAGTGCCCGATAAATTTTGGTTATGGGTTAGATGCAAAGCGTCTGGACAAGGAGCAAATTGTCTGGTTCCACAGGCACTGGCACTGTCCTCTCCTGCCCTCCTCTATCATTATCTGTCCTCCTCTTATGGGGCTAAGGGGTACTTTGGGCCTGCTCCAGATAGACTCCCCTGTAAACTCTGAAGTCGCTTTGAGTCCTGGTCACCAAGCTATGCATTCAATTATACAGTGTCTTTTATTGTGGACATCTGATTCGCCTCTGTTTTAGTGTAGTGGATAGGGGCCCAGACTTCCTAGGTGATCTGCCAGGGTTCACATCCCAGCACCACCGCTGTTAGCTGTGTGTCCTCAGGAAAGTTACTTAAACTCTCGTGCCTCAGTTTCCTCATTTATAAAATGAAGATAAGGCCAATTCCTATCTCATAGAGAGGTTCAAATAGATTTAAATTATTGAGGATCACATAGGTTAATTTTTTGAAGCGTGCTTAGAATGTCTGGCATATATGGTGTATAAGGTGTGAACAGTCACTATTTTATCAGGGTAACCACAGGGAAGAACTCAGAGGATTCAGAGTCAAATAAACTTGAGTTAGAATCCTGGCTCCAACCCACCTGTTGAGTGGTTCTGACAAAAACCATGTGGTCCACGAACCCCAACATATTGACTCTCTGACCTTTTGCAGACCAAATTTGCAACTCCTGAAAGAGCCCAGGTGGAGCTCCTGACACGGTGCAGAGAAGCGGGCTGGCACAGTGTGTGAGGAGCCCCCTCCCCAGCCTCCCAAAGACACCGTCTGCTGTCTCTGAGGGCCGGGGCCACAGCCTCTGCATCTCCCGAGCTCCAAAAGTTCCTGTGGTTCAGAGTTCATTATGCTCTAGTGACAATCTGCAAGACTGATACTGCATAGCCAGGGATGGTTCTAGAGGGATTTCCATGGACCCCAGGAGTCTGGCACAGACAGGTGTGGGCCAACACCTGCCTTACCCCTCAGTTGGCATCCACGATGGCCTTGGCACCTCATTAGGAAAGTCAAGGCATCCTGAGACCATCCTGGCTGTCCGTTCCCCTGAAGGGAGCACTCTTTCTGCTGCAGGCAGCTCCCAGTTATCTGAAACACCAACAAACTCAAGGCACAGAAGCCTATTTCTGGCTTTGAGATATGCTTGGGGGACCACTTTCTTGATTCCAAAGTATATTCTGTGGTCTAAAGAAGAAGAAAAATAGAATCAATTGCTCTTGTCCTTTTGATAGAAGCATTTAAATGTGAGGTCCTGACTGTGGCATGAGAGAAAATTGGATGCCCTATCCCGCAAACGGTTGTGTTTGATGATTCTACACCCCACTCTGTCTCCTCCTGATAACCACAGCCATCTGAGCACCTGGGGCTCATGTAAGAACAGGAGAAGTGCAAGGCTCATTCATTTAAATGCTCTTTGAGGATATGCCCTATGTAAATAAGAAATGAGTGTGCAATGAATTAAGACAGTATACAATCAATTGCAAAACCACGCGTTGTGAAAAATAAATTATAAATATGCAAAGGAAAACAGTTCACGCGGAAATAAGACTTGAGTTGTGCCTTCTTAAAATTCATGTCTGCTGTTTTGGAAACATCAGTATGGACCACAAGGGAAGGAGGTTACTTAAGCCCATCTCTCAAAAAACAGCAGGGACGAGTTGCTCTGGCTGCTGGCTCCGTAGCTTACACAGTCACCAGTGGTGGAAAGAACACACTTCCTTTTCAAAGGACCAAGGTCAAAATCGCATCTCTACTATTTCTTGGGCATGTGACTCTGGAAAAGTTTTAAAATCTCTCTGGGCTTTGTTCTTCTTGTCTTTATATATGTCATGGTAATGTCTACCTAACAAGACTGTTTTAAACATTGGGATGCTTTATGTGGAGAGGCCGGCACAGGACTTGACACTTGATAAACACTCACTAAGTGATAGCTGTCATATTTCGTATGTTCATCCAACAAACATCTATGGGGCATCTGCTGTGCACAGGCACAGTGTGGGTGCCCAGTACCGCAGAGAGCAGACAAATGTGGTCCCTGACTTGACAAGGTTTCAGTCAGAGGTCCTGGAGAAGTGGCTGTGTGATTACACGTCTATTTTAGGAGTTGGGTATGGAGAGCCATGGAAGACCTTCAGAGAAGCCCTTCCCTGGGGCTTAGGATTTAGAATATGCTTCCTAGGGGAAGCTCTATCTATACTGAGATCAGGCCACAGATACGTAGGAGCCTGGAATTGTCCTAAGAGAGGGAAGTAAGGAATTGCCACCTGGGCAGAAGGAACAGGCTGTGCAGAGGCTGGACACCTGGGAGTGCATAGTGTGTGTGTGGAGCGATGGGGTGCGCAGCGTGTGTGTGTGGAGCGATGGGGTGCGCAGCGTGTGTGTGGAGCGATGGGAGGGTCGCAGCGTGTGTGTGGAAGCGATAAGTGCATAGCGTGTGTGTCGACGATAAGTGCGCAAGCGTCTGTGTGTGAAGCATTAAGTGCATGGCGTGTGTATGGAAGCGATAGGGTGGTGTGTGGAGCGATGGGGTGCGCAGCGTGTGTGTGGAGCGATGGGGTGTACAGTGTATGTGTGGAGTGATGTGGTGCACACAGGCATGCAGCAGCTCCAGAATGTTTGCAGCTGCTAATCAGGAAATCTGGCCCAAAACTCACTCCTGTCGTGTTCCCATTGTTAGCTAAGCAAAGAGAGTGGCAGCAAGCCTCCTATGTGCAGCACTTTGTGCCCCATCCTGGAGGAGGGAGGAGTGTGAGAGCAACCCCTGGCCTCTGCCCTCAGCCATCTTACAGTCGAATCGGACATAGACATAAGAGTCTGCGCAATCATGGTTTTATGATGTACCCAGGACCCAGAGCATTAGGTTCTTGCTTAGTGCCTTTTCCTGCTGTCCTCTGTGGAGAAGCTCTGAGTGAGGATGTTTACCAGGAAGGACAGGAGGAGGCAGTTCTGGGCAGCCCGAGGCTACCATTAGCCCTAAGCTCTCGAAGGCACTGAGTTTGGCTCCAGGCGAGCTTGGGTTTTAGAGAATGATCCATCCTCTTTGGGGGCAGGATGGTAACCAGACCACAGAAGATCCAGAACCAGACCACAGAAGATCCAGAACCAGACCACAGAAGACCCAGAACCAGACCACAGAAGATCCTGCCTCGCAGACGCCCCAGTCCACAGATGTGGCTTGTCGTTTGCATCCTTCCAAAGCACCTGACAGATGTCCCCCGCGGAAAGCCACTGGATGTCTGGTCTGACTCTGCCTGTGGGTTCCAGCAGCCCCTCCCTCCATCCATACCCTGCTCCCAGCATTTGGCTCGGTCTGTTGCTACCCAGTATGACTGGGCTAAGAGGGTTCCTGGAAATGCCTGGCTTCACATTTATTTTAAAAATTGACTCAAGTATAAATATTTTTAAGCTATTGTTCTTTGTCTGAGGTCTTTGGAACAGGTACTCTATCTTGCACAGGCAATTTGGTAGAATGGAAGAAAAATGATTATGAGATTCTGCTATAACCCAAAAGGAGGATTGGCCTGAGAGAA